ATTTGCAAATTCATTGAGGCCCGAACCTGGAAAGGTGGATGAACGTAATGAATCTCGGAAGAAGGATTTTGATCTTTCAACGTGAGCACCTAAAGGTGTTTCTGTGTGAATGAAATTACTTCAGTATCGATGAAAAACGTTACATTAAACACAGCCTGAACAACTGTCAGGCAACTAAAGACCCTGACATTGTTTATATAAATCACAGTATTAAAGAAAAAGTGATGATAGCACAGCTATTTGTGGATTACTGCATTTATGCACATGTAGGAATGGAATGCCAGAAGAAGGTAAGCGTATGGTTGCCCAAATGAGCTTACTAGCACAATCTTATGATGCGAAAAAGTAAGAACGTAACCTAACAATAGGAAATGTGGCCCGCATGAATCGATCTGAATATGGCAAGAACGGAAGAAAGGTTGTCAAGGTAGAATAAGGAATGAGCGGTGAGAACAAGTAGGTCTCATATTTCGAGGGTTAAGTGAAAGTAAAAAGTGATACATATAGATCATTAAAGAGCATTTGATGGGGCTCATGGTTCAGATAAGAGTAAAGATACAAATTAAAGATTCATAGTATAAAAAGCCTTGGATCTGATGTCCAGCCCCCTTAATAAGTAAACAAATTCTCTTTTGATCCAGTGATATGCAGAGGAACACTAAAAAATAAATGGATAGCGAAGCGTCACTGATTAAAAGTATTTAAATATGATGATACATAGCTCAATGAAAAGATTGACTATTGAGTAGAGATGAGACGTAGTTTAACTTTTCGGTAGGCCGATTGAGAACTCAGCGCCGCAACGAAGAAGGAACGCGCGCAAGAGACATGCAGCCTCGGCAGATAATGTCGTCATGGCCATCATGTCACAGAGGCTGGCGTAAACAGCTCCTGCATATTTCTGAAACAGTGGGCCGGTATCGAGCTGACCCAGCCTGGAGAGCAAAAGAATAAGGCAGGGCTCCCAAGCCTGACGTTGAGCATCGGCTGTGAGGCTCGAATAGTAGGAGAGTGCATCGCGCATCAGAATGATGAGCATATCGGATGTCTGATCAAGATCAAGAGACATTGATTAACTAATGCAGTGGCCATCATTTTCAGTTAAAAAGTTACGACGCTCTCTGTTCCATAAGATAAAAACGAAAACTTATGAAAAAATATGAAAAGGGATATATAAACCTTGCTTATTTCAAGTAAGCATGAAGATGTGCCGATAGTAATATTAAGATAAATGTGCCAATGAGAGTTTAGTGTTCCAAAGGGGACGTGGACTGTCTATAAAATAAAAAACGCTTGCACTCTACAATTCAAGTTGGATGTCCCGAAACGAAGAGTGAAAAGGA